TTTATTTATTTATTTATTTACCCTGCCTGTCTTCCCAAAAGGACCCAAGGAGTCTTTTTTCTCTCTGCAGCTTTACACCTGCTCTATAAACTGAAATCACCGGGAGATTATGGTTATTCTGGTGATTTCAGTAACATTCTGAAGATGACGTTGATGATTCTATCCTGAATCTTCCGAGAAACATCAGATCTTCCAAAGCTGATAACAGAATGACTGAAGGGCTATTAATAGTTCTGTAAACATATACTTTTACTTTCCGTGTGCTGACATGAAAGAGCTGTTTGAATGTGCTCTTTCAGAGCCAGGGAGACCAAACTCTAGATTTCTTCATAACAACAACAACTGTATAAACTCTAATCAACAGCCAAATCTTCCTGGCTTTCTCCCGTAACAGTATCTATTTTGGGACCAGGATGGGTTCTGGAAACTTGTTTCTAGTGGTGTTTTGTGACAGGCTGCATCAGTCCCCTCTCGTTGGATGGAATGGCTCCATTTTCATTGGGCTGCCCTGTTCAGAAGTCACCATTCCAGTCTGTTTTTTGCAATATCATTTTTCTGCCTGGAATGGTTACTGGAGTGTTGTTTCTGTGGATGATTCGTACCTTGCTGCATCTGTCTCATCTAGTCACCTACTAGGTGTTGTGACGAGCCACCATCACTCCCTCTGGGCATTTGCCCATCACATGCCCACCTTTCCCTGATTCAGATGGAACGGAGAGGCAGAACGGAGTGCCATCAACAAGGAGATGACATTATGCCTCCTGTCTCCTGTGATGATATCCCAATGGTTTTATTTCAGTGTCAAACTGGAAGGGCTATAGAACTGCCTAGGGATATCACTCAGCATTTTTGAGATTTTTGTTTTTCCCTCCAGCTGCTTTTCACAAACTGAACATTTCACTCTAAGAGCAAACTCAGATACAGGTTGAGTTGCTGACAAACAGGATCTGCAAGAAACAACTGGGCCACCCAAACAGGCCTTGGAAATTCACATGATATGAAAGCTGTCATTAACTCCGCAGTCTGGGTCATCCTTTAAACCACTAAGATTAATGAGATTACATTGCATTGCATTGCACTTTGAGCCCCATTCTAGCATTCATTTGAGGGCTAAAGAGGGGCCAGGGAGGTGGACATACCCTCATTTGCCAGGGAAGGGACATTTGGGGCAAGATTCAAAGTGGGCATGTGCACCCCCACCACCCATTTAGTAAGCAATCATTGCATAAGGCCGAAGGGTGATTTAGACACTATGGTTATGATGGGCGACCAATGTTCAGACATCTACAAATGGAAATTATAACAAGCTGTTGCTGCAAAAGACCACTGGATTTCACAAGAGAAAGGCATGTCAAATGGCAGCCAAACAAACAACTGGAGGAAAGGTTATCTCAAAGGGCCACAGCCGACTGCTAAAGGGGGCGTCTTGTAACCAAAGAGCTTGTGAAAGCTAACTAAGAAATGCTGACTAACTCTAGGCAGTTTTGTTCCATTACCCATTAAATGACTAACTCAAGGTGACCTGTCTCAGTGGTATCCTGTATGTAACTGCCCCGGGAATAAAGTGGGAGAAATGTCCATGCACTCAAATAGCTCTCTGGCCTGTTTTTCTTCTAGGTTCCTATTGAAGAGGTGCCGCACACAAGCAATCATCATTACCAGGAGGATCAAAAAAGACAGAGTGTTGAAGAATAGAAGGAGCAGCCCAAAACTACCTGTTGTCTTTATCATGTTATTGATTACTTGTGAAATGTCTTGGCCATACATTATTTTATTATATGAACTTGTATGGGGTTACTGCAAACATAAAACCACAGCAATTTACGTTTGCATCTTTTTCTTTTTCTAGTAGTATTTGTGTTTTCTCTTTTAAATATCTTGTTAGATAACTTGATTTCTTTCATTTGGAGAGATTTGCAGAATAGAAATAATTAAAATGAATGACTGAATGACTTTCTCTAGATAAATATTCTGAATATTACACACTTTCCACAGAACACAACAGACAACCTAAGAAATGTGGACTTCTGGCAACCTGGCAATAAAGTCCATTGAAAGAAGCTTATCAATAAGAAGCATACTGCACAGGAATATAACCTACTGAAATTTATTAGAAACAGTATAAGAGAAAGATAAAAGGTGCAATTTAATACATTCTTTTAAAAAAAATGGGATTAATGCATTCTTCTACACCACATTTAGGCATACATTACTTACAAAACTAAGACTTAAAGACTATCTCCAGGCAGTTTTGTTTTGTTACCCATTAAATGACTAACTCAAGGTTTCAGTGCTATTCTACACATAATTGCCCCTGGGGACAAAGTGGGAGAAGTGTCAGTGGACTCTCCTAGATCTCTACTCTGTTTTTCTTTTAGGTTCCTATTGAAAAGATGCCACTTAGAGGCAATCATCATTATTTGAAGGATCAAAGCAAATTGAATGTCAAAGAGTAAAAAGAACTGCTATGACTGGTTGTATTTTCCATCATGTTATCAGTTTCTTGTGAATTATCCTGACCATACATTATTTTATTATCTGTATTGTGGACTTTATTGCAAGGGACAAGTTGACAAGGCCCCAGCCGGAACTCCTCATTTTGCACAGCCTTCTGTGGAGCCTTCAATGCTATATTTAGGACAGACCCTTACATATGATGTCGAGTAAAAAGAGAAAACACTCGAGATCCCCAGAGGAATTGAGGAGCAACTCTACTCCAAAGGCTAAACAGAGAAAGTTAGATTTTTTTAAAAAAAAGTTACCCTGGATGATTCTCTGCCTACAGTTTCCCTTTCTTCTACTTCCACATTCATGTTGAATATCATGAGAGATATTCCAAAAGGCATCCTTAGAGGACTTAGAGAAGGAGGAATCAAAAAATAGTTGGGGCAGGGGGTTGGGAATGTATAGTAAAATTTGCATAGTGAATATCCCCCCCTCCCAATTTCTGCTCCTGTTATTCCCATCTGGGCTATCTAACCTAGGGTTGACAGATGCCCATTTAAAAAAGCACCCTATGGTGTTGCAACTGGACCCCCAATCATGGTCCTAGAAGACCAAGGGAGTGACCTGACCCCACAACTATGCAATAGTCAGCCACTCTTCCTCCCCTTAATAATTCTCCCCCCCCCGGGTCCATCAGGGCCAGTAAACTGTACAATGGTGCTGCCTGCATTGCCACAAGGAGCTGTGCCATTCCCAGGCCTCCAGGCCAAAAATATCTGCCATTCATGGCTGGGCTCATCAAGCGTAATTGGCCAAACACTTTCCCTCCATCTCACTTCTTATTTATTTATTTATTTA